CTTATGCACAGGGAGACAGCTCAGGGGGCAGGAGTGTATGGAGGGATGGACACTGGGAAGAGGTAACTATGGGGAGGAAGTGGAGGGGAGCTGTTGCATTGTGGTAAACTGTGGTCAATGATATGAGACAAAGTATATGTGAACTGCTGTATGGAAAGTGATTTGCTCTGTAAATCTTCACCCAAATCACAATAAAAAATAAAAAAAAGACTCCTGACCTGAGTAAGAAGGTTGAAGGAAGACCAATGACAACAACAGAAACTATCCCTAAATTCACTACAACCCACAGTGGCAGCATTCATCTTCATGCCTGTTATTATTGGGTGCCATTGAATCGATTTCAACTGATAGCAACTCAGTGTGACAGACTAGAACTTCCCCATAAGGTTTTCTTGGCTGTAATCTTTATGGGAGCAGATTTCCAGTCTTTCTCCTGAGGAGCTGCTAGGTAGATTCAAACCACTGAGTTTTCAGTTAACAGACACATGCTTAACCATTGTACCACCAAGGCTCCTTTCTTTATACCTTGACCCTAACTTTCCTAGACAACAGTGACATCAAACACACTGCAGTCTCAGAATATTACAGAGCAGTTGAGCACTTATGGAAGGAATAGTGTTGGGGTTACAAATGTAGGAATAAGAAAAGATTGATACATCTGCAAGAGAGAGTTGGGAGGCTATAAATTGGGCTCTTTCTGAACTGAGAAAATGAAAAATCTTTGTAGCCACCACAACCCTCCTTCTTACCTATGTTAGGCCAAGTGTTAAATAAAGCTGACCTTTAAAGTGACATTATCTCTGTGTTCCTCTGGTGTGAGGTCCTAGTATAACTCTGGTGATTGGTCCTAGTACTAACAGCTTAGGATGGTACGTTATGTGTGAGGGTATAAAGGTGTGGTGTATGTGTGTTTTTTGTGTGTATGTGCGTGCACACCACATATGATGATAACATACCATGAAGTTTTGCTGAGAAGATGGGATCACCACCCCAACCCGCACCCCCACCTCTGGGGAAGCAGTGGCCCACACAAGGTGGCTCTGTGCCTGAGATGCCTGCTAGAGTCTAGCAGGGAAGCATGTGGCTGGTCTGTGGTTTCTATTCTTACCCATGACCTCATCTGGCATTTTCCAGCTCCATGTAACCCAAACCAGGTACAGAGGCTCCAAAAGGCATGACTGGGCATGGAACGAAAGAGAGCCCACATCAGAATCTGGGACTCCTGGGACCTTGGAGGTGGTCTGGACACAGGTCAGCAGAGGCATCAGAATCTGTAGCTCCCTGATTCATTGTTACAATTGAGCATCTATTCTGTACCTGTCTTTGTGCTAGAGCTGAGCAATCCATGGCCTATGCCTTCTGGGAGGATAAAACGAAAAATCAAGCCAAAAAAACAAACTCATCGCCATCGGATCCCACTCATAGCAACCCCTCCTTGGGTTTCCAAGGCGGTATCACTACGGAAGTAGATTGCCCAGTCTTCCTTCTGAGGAGTGGCTGATGGGTTTGAACTGCCAGCCTTCTGGTTAGCAGTCAAATGCCTGAGGCATGATGCCCCCAGAGTTCCTAAAGTGGATACTGATTCATGGTGACCCCATGTGTTTCAAAGTAGAACTGCATTCCATAGGGTTTTCAATAGCTGTAATCTTTACAGAAGAAGCCCTGGTGGTGCAGTGGTTAAGCACTTACCACTAACCAAAAGATCAGCAGTTTGAATCCATTAGCTGCTCCACTCGAGGAAAGGCCTAGCAATCTACTCCTGTAAATATTACTGCCTAGGAAACCCTATGGGGCAGTTCTACTCTGTAATATTGGGTCAATATGAGTTGGAATCAACTCAGTGGTACACAACACCAACAATTTTTATGACCTTTTTTTCCTGCTGGGTGGATTCAAACCTCCAACTTTTTGGTGAGCAGCCAAACACAAGCCATTTGCACCATTCAGAGCCTCCATGAGTTGGAATTGGCTCAATGGCAATGGGTTTGGGATTTTTTGGTTTGGGGGAGGATTTTTGGTGACCAGGGAAGGGTTTCATACTCTGCCTTCTGAATTAACTTTGTATGTGACCTTGATTGAGTTA